AGTCTCATCGGGAGGTCGACAAACCGGATGCTCTACCCCTCTTGTGCAATGCCTCGCCTGTTAGTCATTCGCACGCTTGAGACGCCGACGTCGGGACTATGCAGGTTTGAGGCTCCTTGTACAAAGGCAATATATCCACGAGGCTGTGACAACTAATTATGGACGACAGCACTCTGGCTATAAGCGCGTCAATCAAAGCCACGTTAGCTTCGCCCGGTATGCCTCCAATGGATCTTTGCTCAACTGAAGACCCTGGACAAAGGAAGCATTAGTTCCACGAACCCCTCTTCTGACAGTCGAGGCGTATATACGGAGGTTGCTTTCAGAGCCTCAATGGGAAAACAGGCGAAGCAGCCCAGGATTCTTCATTCGAAAGATTGCAGATACGACCACTGACCTGGGGTGAGCCTCGCGGACGACTAGGCGCATCACAAGGAAAGGAGATCTCGAATACGCATAGTCCTGGTCACAGCAATCTGGGAAACATATAAAATCGAGTCTGGCGCCCATTTGCTGTCATCATCACCGCACTGCAACGTTCAGTTTTTTAGCGAGTCCGATTTTACTCTGATCAGTTGATCTTTTGACCTCCACCATGCACGCCGTGGCTCTCTTCTCCCTTCTCGCCGGCCTCACTGCCGCTGCGCCGACCACTTCAATTAAAGCCGCGAACCTGGCCAGGAGCATCGTCGCCCGTGCTCCTGCTGGAGCAAATCCGGTGCTCAAATCAGTCACTTCAACCGGGTCCGGCTGCAATGCCAATTCGGCGCAATTTGTCTACAACGACCAGGCTTCAGTCGTTTTCGATGCTATGGTAGTCTCCACTGATGTCAGGACCACGAGCTGTGTCCTTGAATTTGATCTCGAGCTTGATCCCGCCTGGAAGTATACAGTCGACAAACGTGGTCAACTCCAAGGTTATTCGGAGGGTGGAAACGGCCGTTTCAAGTCCACCTTTTCACTTGCTGGACAAACGGTAATACTCTTGCGATCTTGTACTAGTCCGAGCTGACGTCAGTCAGTCCACCTATCAGGTTGCGATACCGATCAACGGGGATGTGAATCTTAGCTACGGCGGCCGCGACGGTATCACATCTCAGTACGGCGGCGGGAAGACCACGGTCATTATGGATCTGACCCTCCTTGGTACCCAGCCAGGATTTTTGTCTATTGATTCCTTCGACATGGCTTTCGACTATTCTCAGTGAAAGGAGTGGCTTGGATTGCTACGACGTAAGCAGAAGAGGTAGCTCATGCTCAGGATCTCTTTTAGAGCTCAACTTCAATTTATACCTTCCGCTGCGGAAACTGACGCGAGACATCCTGTACCACGTTGGAGCATCACTACGAAAACGGCAACTCGTTACGAGCTGCCCTGCAGCGTGCATGCAGGACACTCAGCTGCCAGCCTCTCGATTTCGAAAGGTTGCCTGGTTCATGTTGCAACTCTTCCACTGATATAATAGCCTAGTTGAGCTTCTCATAACTTGCGGACGTTCTCAGTCACTCAATATGGTGACATCTCCTTGGCCTGAGTCGACTTTATCACCTCCTCTGTACTACTTCGATGCTTGGAAAGACGAGGCTGTGTGTCCTACAATCTGGCCTTGACAAAGCTAATAGCGTATTGAAGGGAGGCATACAAACTCGCAATGGAACTCTGCCTTACGCCTCCCTGGAAGACTGGCTGGAACTGAATGTATGCAGGAAGTTGGAACTGCGTGCCCAAATCAGTCAGTTGCCGTGGCCACGCGCTGACGTTCTCTCAGGACGCTTTCGGGATTGCGAGCACAAGAACCAATGACCCCTCAGGGACGATGGTGCTGCGGCTTATGTATGCTCTATCCGAATGAAACCTCCGAAAGTATAGCATGGTGACCTTTTCACAGCGGATGCGACTATATCAAGCACCCTTTCGCAGTAGGATGCGGCAAGCCTGCTTTCGAGCTGATCCGCAAAGGATTTGCCTTGCACTACTCTACCGAGGAAGTTATCCTTCACAACAATGGCGTCTTTGCACGTTACCTGAAACGGACGGAAGGACAACCAGACATCGATTGTTTGTGTAAGCTTCACACATTGCCGTACTCAACCATTTCTGAATACTCCCAGCTCTCATTTTCAAGGTCGCCTATGGTCTCGGCATCGGCTACGACGCCCTCTCTTTGACCCATAACCTGAAAACAAGACAAACGCGAGCCTTCGTCCACGGCTTACTGAGTTCCGAAATCGAGGTGCTGATTCAAGAAATGCGCTCTCTCACCAATAAGTCACACTATAAGCAGCCTCTTCTTATCCCAAGTCTCCTTTTGGCCAACCACAGACGAAAAACTGAAGCCTATCGTGTCCGTGTCGATGACAGCGTGCACGCCACTGAAGTCGGGATCAAGTACGGCGTACCAGGTCTATTCGATCGTCCCACATTCGACATGCCTAAAAGCTCGCCGATCTCAGAGCGCCCGAGTCTCGAGATTTCCACACGGCATCTTCATTCTTGTTACGTAGAGCTGGGCACTATAACGCATGCAGGAACTCGCGGGAGAGAGTTAGGGGAGTTTCTGGTCAGGACTGCAAATGAAGTGGAAAAGCTTTCAATTGCTGCTGATTCCACATATCCCTACGCGGCACAAGACATCGTCCACAGAATTGAGTACACATCTCACATGTACACCAGCCTCGTGGGTCAAGTTTCTGTACTGAAGGAGCGAGTCCAGAACGACCTCAACCTTGTCAGTATCACATCCGCTCTTTCAACGACCACATGGCTGAACAAACCTAGCTGTTCAACCTAGTCGCACAAGACAACAACCGCATCAATCGAGCTGTGGCCGTCGAAAGCACCAGGATCGCCTCCGCGACGAGGCGGGACAGCGCGGCCATGCGAAGTATCGCGCTGCTGACTATGATCTTCTTACCACCAACTTTCGTTGCGGTGAGTACACGAAAACGCACGCTGGTCTCTACTTATTTGAGCAGACATTCTTCAGCATGTCCATGTTCAACTGGACTCCGAATAACGACTCTCCGTCTGATTCCGTCGCCTCAAGCTATCTTTGGGTATACTGGGCTGTTGCTATTCCATTGACGGCCGCAGTGCTCGTATTGTGGAGATATTGGTGGTACTCCGCCGGAGGAGGCCATTTGATACCTCATGCCCTCAGCTTGGGTACCGAAACCGGAGTGGAGATGGAAGGGTGGGCAGTACCGGCCTCAGGGGTTTCCGGTCAAAATGACCTGCGGTCAGGATTCAAGACAACTGGAGCTTTGATCGCTGAGAACCCAGTGGCTGGAGCCGAGGTGCTGAAATTGTATCCCAGAGCACCTTTTCGGTATGCTCCGGCGGGGTGGGCGATTTGGGAAGACAGTGACCGTCCATGACCCAAACCACATTGTAAGGCGCAATTCCCGTGCCTTCGCCAGTTGCACACGTACTGAACAATGCAAGTAGCAAATCCACCAATGTACCGGCGAAGGTCTTACTGTGCATACACAACAACAATGGAATATCTACACAATACCCTTGTCCGTCTTCTATACTACCAGCATCACGTAGCTATCCCCGCAAACGTATATATGCCTCTCTGAACCAGCTCCATCGCATAAACTCAAGTCAATCACCTCCAAACCCTCCAAATCCTCCAAACCCCTAAACACAAACTCAATCCAGTCACTTGCAACTCTTCAAACACCATGGCATCCAACTTCCTCGCACGCTTCAAATCCACCCGAACAACACCTGAAGTCCAGACGCCCACTTCAACCGCCTTTTCGGCTTCCTCGACTTACTCCCAAACCTCCCAAGGCCTATCAACAGCTACACAAATCTCGATAACCCCGCCCCCAAAAACCGAAGCCTCCAAACGCATCGCCAACCTCCGTCTCCTTCTCCCCTCCCCAAGCACTCCCCTTCCTCCATGCGAGTCCCTTCCCCCAACCCAACAAAACCTGCGCCGGTTACGCGAGGTGCGGATCGCAGAACAAGCACACTCTCGACACGTTGCAGCAACATCATCCTCTAGCACAACATCCACTTCCACTCAGCGTCCAACAGCGCGGGCAAGCATAACGTCCTCCCTCCCCTCAGCCACTAGAACCCCAATTTGGCTTTCCGGGATACCAGCTACGCATAGTATGCACGCATCTGATGCGCGATGTCGGTTCTGCGGTATCCAGCGTGGTGACTTTGAGCAAGCGTGTGCATGGCGGATGCATGGGTGTGGACATTATTATCATGTTGAGTGTCTTGTTACTATGTTGGACGGTATGTATGGGGATCCTGAGACGCGGGGGAATGTGAGCGGTTGGTCGATCAAGCAGGGTGACTGCGGGAAATGCGATACGGTTTGTCGGGTGGCTAGTGGGATGACGAAGGAGGAGTGGGGATTGGATGCGCTGGTGCGGTAGGTTGATAGGGAGGAGGCCGTTGTGATGGGCTTCGAGTATGGCGGTTGACCGCTGGAAAGGTAAGTATCGGAGTAAGACTGGAAGTGAAATGATCGTTGTCATCCGTGTTGCGCCTGCGCGTTCAACTTACAAATTAAAGGAAGTAATTGTAATGAACGAGATCTCACAAGTTTCCAAATCCTATTTCTCTATGTGATCGTTTGAATATATTCGTTTTGGTGATTAGTGCAAAAACAAAATGATTGCTCCTCTCTGGCATCTTCACCGACTCCGCTTGGGGGCCAGTGACCAAATGTTAGGAGATCTGGGGTGGGGAGAGTGAGTGACGGGCCACTCGGGGAAGGCTTTCTAGACTGAGATCTATGGTCTGGACATGGATGTCTGTTTGGGTTCGAGACGATGAACTGTCTGCATTGAGTGTAAGAGAACACTGCGTATATGAACACGCTACAATCAAATCTATCCATGTTCGTCGATACGAGGCAGAAGCTGCAGAGACGGTCGGCCGGTCGTTCCTTCCTCCTGCGTTTGAACGCATTTGCCCAAAATATAGCATATTTTGCTAAATTTTCTTGCATCAAACAAAGCCAATCAACGGTCGATTAGCTCAGTTGGTTAGAGCGTGGTGCTAATAGGATTATCCTGTAACGCCAAGGCCATGGGTTCGAACCCCATATTGACCTCATCTTTTTGCCTTTATTTGACCCTCCTCGGCGGCGCCCCTTGTTTTTAAGTTTTTGTCCCTAATCTTCCACCTGCAAAAAGTCCTGCTGTAGTAACAGCGGGATAGATGTTTCTACTCACCCTCGTAGTAACTACCAGTTTTTTTTTCTTGGGCCTTCTCTTTACGCTTTGCTCTCTAGAGTCGCTCATTACGTTTGGAGAAGGTTGCACAGAGGGTTACACATGAGAGCTAATGGAAGGACGTGACAACACGAACACGCAAGAAGATTCGTTTCATTTCATCAAACCCCCGATTACACTACCTCAAACACCCCACCCTCACCTCCATTACGCATCAGGGAACCACCAAATTCCCAATAAACACGACCAAAATCGCGCAGTATGCAGCAGACGCCGCAAAAAGCTCATGCCTCGCCGCCTTCGTCACCAAACTCATAGCCGCCGAGAATAACAACGTAAAAACGATCAAAACGCCCACGGCATTGAAAGTGTCCCTACTACTCACACTCCCCGACTTCCCATTTCCGTTCCCCTCTTGCTGACCTTCCTGCATCTCACTCGTCAACAAATACATGGCCACAACCGGAATAACCAGCAACACGAAGATCACAAACGTGATCATGATATTCACCAACAAATCGATCCGACTCGAGCTGTACAAACTGATAAACTGGTTCGTAGTCTTTGCTCTGAGTTCCGGAGTCCGGAAGTATCTTTGCAGTGGTGGAGACCGGAGACGGAAGAGTTTCTGCAAGAAGTGGTCGATTTGCGAGATCATGGTTTCGACGCCGCCGTCAAATGACGCCCATTCGCGGCCGTTGCGAAGGGAGACGATGTCTTCTTTGCTGCGAATGGCGTCCATTTCCGAGTCTTGGAGCGGCTTGGTGTTGTGGTGGTAGCGCCGGACGGAGCGGTAGTTGCGGTCGGAGGGCTTTTGGAAGGATTCGAGAGTGCGGGCTTTGATGAGGACTTCGTCTGGGTGGTGTCAGTCGCCATAGGTCTCAACTACGGCCGGGATTCTACTACCATATTGCATGAGTTTGTTTCTGATCTCGGTCAATACAACGCGACGATTACGAGCATTGGGGGCGTCGGTTTCAGCGGCTGCTACGTCAGTCTCTCGTGAGCGGAGACGGTTGGGGTCTTCTTCGAAATCGTCCCAGTCGAGGTCGTCCAGCTCTTTCTCGAGACACGTGATGTCGTCTTGCAAGTCAAGGAGAACTCTTGAGTGAAGGTAGTTGAAGGAGCGGTAGAGAGAGAAGTTGGCTTCACTGGCTTGGAAGGCTGCTAAGCGGGGAAACCCGTTGGGTGTATTTTCCACTGGCAGGGGATTAGTGATGGGCGGTGGTAAGAGCAACGACACTGACGCGTCCTGGTTCTGGTCTCGACGACATCGGGGGGCTCGGGTATGGATTTGAAAGGGCCTGTGATGCGTCGGAGCAGCGTTGGTGGTTTCTCGTCACCTTGTAGAAGTTAGTTTGGACGCCGCTTTTGGAAATGGATTATTTGGAACATACCACAGGGTGCCGGTGGGAGGCCCACTGAGGAGCTTGTGCCGGATGTGCTGGTGGGTGAGCGGTGCAGGGTTGAATTATCGTCCTCGAGGATCTCTATTATGGCATCTCCCCGCAGAGTATCAGTGTCGGTGTGCGTGGGAGACACTGGCGTTGCTGAGGACGTTGGACATATTGGGGTTTGCGGAGGCTGTTTCTCGTTCACATACGTCTCTCCCGTCATAGTACGAGCGGGGCCCATGATAAGGAAGGCTGAGGGGTCGCAGCTGCCTGGCGCGACGAGAAGTGAAGAGAAACGGAGAAAGAGAGAGCGAACTTTTGAAATCACAGATGCATGAGCGATCACACTGACATTATAGAAGTAGAAGTAGATTAACGCCTCTAATGCAGCAAAAACCAGCGATGTGCCAGAATGGCGGTGCATGCGCTTCGGATCTGACCAGATGCCGCCTGGTGTGACGAACCCAGCCACAATGTTTACAGCCAATGAAGTTGCAAGAATCGTCCCCTGCAGGGGTCAACACACCGGAAGTGTGGCTGCCTGATTGACTGCACAGCCACTCGGTGGTGTACGAGAAGGAAGGGGAGCACTCCTCAGCCGTCCTCATCGCTCTAATTTGAGATAATTCTCCCGAATGAAGGCTCCATTGTCGTACAGTCCTTTGCTGTCGGTGAGCTGGTACTCCCAGAAGCGCCCGCTGCGATTGTAGTGAGCCTTGAGGACAGTGAAGATGCCCTTTCGACGGAACCCATTCGCGACAATGGACATGTGCACTACATCGCCCTTCTGGAACTTGCGGTTTTGCTATTCAACGTCAGTTTGTCCTTTTTCTCGGGTGGGGCTCTCGTACGCTGGGATCAAAAGGATCAACGTAAACGGATGACTTTGTTACCGTCACCTCTTCCTGTTCGGCCTGGCCGCTTGTCAGCCTGCTCGCTCTGTCCTATGCCGGACTGGGGCACTACCTTCGGATCCTGGGAAGGCTGCGTCTCGAGGTCAGTGGATGCCATAGTGTGGATTATTGAGGCTGCCAATGCTGCTTGGTGGATGCACGGGAGAGGGGTAGACGGCCGTAGCCTTGTGAAGAGAAGCGAAGAGTGCGAGAAGGCTGTCCTTCAAATACGTCGAACGAGACACTGCTGCCGGCCTCTTGAACAGCCCCGAAAGTCTTCGATTCAAGTGCTGCCTGGGGACAATCAGGTTGTTCGACGCAGAGGGCGGGGGCTGACTGTGTTCTGCACACTGCACAGCCGCCTCGACACCTCACCGGTTGACCCAAGAGGGAACATCTCCCCGTTCACGAACAGCTGTTGCAACGCTATGGTTCTCCCATCGGATTTTCAAAACCATACAGCCGAGCTTTTTGTTGGCTGTCTGTTCCGTGCTGGCAAGGCGAACGCTTCTCTCGCAGATTCCAACTGACCCAAAACTGTGCTATACCGACGTACTCTTTATAACTGCTATCCGGTTATCCTGTACTTTGATTGTACTAACAGTAGACCGAGTTTTAATGCTTAGAAAGGTGTTCCTCGACAAATCCTATGCCCCGCCAAAACAACAACCACTGTGCACGAGCCACCGGGATGCGGTGAGTAAGCGACCCGATTGGCACTAGCGCGCGGGGCTTGACTTCTTCTGCAGCCCGTTGCTCCCGACTGCAGCCCAAGCTCACGACCGCAAATATGGGGGCTGAAGCCAGAGACATGACGCCCTCTGCGTCTGTCCACACAGCCTTCTCACCTCATATGTCATGTCTCTCTTGACAGCCGCCTCATCTGGCATCCTCGCCGCCATGGAGAACGAGGTCGCCAGATCCTCCCAGTCCGCCGGCTTGCTGAGAGACAAGCTCATCCACGCGCACGCCGATATCCGCATCGATGGCATCGAAGACCGCCCTCGAACCCCAGACGGGACTGCCAGCACCCAGCTAGTCGAGCAGAACAGCCAGAGCGCAGGAGACGCTGCAGCCCAGGAGAATGCCGTGCGCATGCAGGTGTGCTGGGACCAAGCCTTTGCGAAGCACATGGGCCTCGCCGACCGCTATGAAAAGGTTGCTGTTCTCCTTATCAAATGGGAAGACAATCTAGATGAGTTGAGGACAAAGGAAGAGGTGAGAACACCTCTCCACGGCTCGACGCGTGAAGCTAACATCCTCAGACCGAAGAGCTGCGTGACATCTTTCGTGACCAGTTCCACTATGCTTGCAACATCGTCGAGCTGGACGTCATGACGAAACCCCAACATCAGATGAACAAACACATCTCTGATTTCGTCAATGCACATGACGGACCCAATTCGCTGTTGATCGTATACTACACCGGCCATGGTGTGTATAATGAGAACCTGCACTGTCTCGAAATGACAGCCAGCATCGACCCCTTCTCGAAGTTTGGCTTCAAGTTCGCAGCCCGCGCCAACTGGAACAAGGCGGAAGAGCAGCTGCGCGTTGACGACGTTGAGGGTGACGTCCTCACCATCCTCGACACGTGCTACGCCTCCAACCTTCAGAAGTCAGGTAAGGAGTCCAGTCGTACCTTTGAGCTGCTCAGCGCCTGCGTCATGGATGCTACAACCGCCGGCCCTGGCAAGCGCTCCTTCACCCGTGCGCTCATCGACGCCCTGAATGAGCTCCTGCAAGAACACAGAGGTCGTCCCTTCACGACCTTTCATCTCAACCAACGCATCCTGGAGAACCCCATTCGGCACAGTGAGCCCTCACAGCTATGGTACCGCCTTAAACACCATGAACGACATATCTCGCTTGCACCTTTGAAGCCCAAGAGCGGCCCGTCCATCCACAACGCCCTCCGGAAGTTACCAAGGGGATACCTGACACTTCAGTTTGCATTGGACTATGCATCGCTGAATGAGGAGCAGATTGAGCTTCTCTCCCACAAGCTGGCCACTGCCCTCAAGAACTCACGACTCGGCCTCCGGAACATCGACTGGCTGGGCATGAAAGCAGCGCGAATCACACACCTCGGGCGGGCTGCTCTGGCCATGTATGCCGTCTCGCAGTGGAAAAAGGTCGCTCGACAACGACGGGAGGCGAGGCTGGGAAGAGCTTACAAGAGTGATGGCGGCGATGCGCCCCAGACGGACCCCAAAGCGGCGCTGGGTGTGGGGTCACACGTGACTCTTCATCCACGTGCTACCACGCAAGTGCAAGCATCCCCGGCACGCAAACGCAACCGTGAGCAAGAAGACTACGCTCTCCCCTTGTCGAAAAGGAGCTCTTTGCCCCTCCCTCCGAATGGCGATCAACCCCCCTCTCCACCTGTGTCCGTAACGTCACGAGTGGACGAGTCCTCGGACGCAGATGTGCATATGGGATAGCGACACTATAATCGTGCGTCGCCTGATGCAGCGCTGCGCATCTTGACCTTACCGTTGCTCCGGTCCCCGCTCCCACCGAGAACATCGAACTACGGCCACCGAAGGACACCACCGCACGCCATCGACCGTCCCCCACTTGCGCACATGTACCCGGACCAGCATCCCTTGCAAGGCTCCTACTTGAATACAAGTTCCACGAAAAGCATTTTGGATATATTCCGACTTTATAAATCAGCAACTTTGTGTACCTCGTAACAAGGAAGCTCGCTTAGCTCAGTGGTAGAGCTTTAGACTCTTGGACGTACCCGTTTTGAGTGCATCTAATTGTCGCGAGTTCGATCCTCGCAGCGGGCCATCAAGCTACAGCTTATTTTTTTTGCTCCCCGTTCGAGTCTTTTGCGCAATGCTCCTTTCAGCTCGTCCAGCGTATTTTCGACTTTTTCTCTCTATGTGTCTTGATCTTTGCACGGATACCGTCCAATGGCTATTTTGATGACGGGATATCAGTTTCTGTGGCGTTCAACTTCTCGGTTCTTCGTGCGCCTCCTGTTGCGCCTCGTTCAGCGTTTTCCTAATTCTTGGCAGATACCCCAGGAGAGCGTTTTTAGCTAGGAATAGGGGAGCTGGTTATTTAAGATCTCAATGATACTCAGTGGACTGAACATATTGGCTTCTCGCTGTCATGTCGAATCCTGCGTGTTCTCTTTGAAATTTCGAAATCGCCGTGACAACGATTTCCGGTTCAACCTTGGTATTCGGTTTTGGAAAGGAGACTTAGCCATTCAAGATCTCAACGCCAATCAGTAGACTAAAACCTATTAACTTCTTGTTATCAAGTTAAACCTCCTGTGTTCTCTTTCACATTTCGGAATCGCCGTGATGCCGTTTTTCAATCCACTCTTGGTAGAAAAGAACCGCTGCGAAAACCCCTACCATGGCACGAGGACAAAGCGCATGAGCAGGGTAGTCTTACAAGAGAGTCGTGAGATAATTTCTTCTACTCAGAACGATACGCTGTCGCGACCTCACAATCTCATTAAAGCATCTTCCACCTACTACAACCTCGACGAGGTACCATCCAAGCTTGACAATAGCCCCTCAGACCTTGACTACATCTCAACCTGAACAATAACCCAAATCTTTGAAGTACCGTGCTAACCTGGCTTATAAACTCGCAATGCTTGAAAGTGCCTGCCCACACGGACTGGAGAGGGAACGCCGGCGTGGTACACCATTGAAGGTACCTGCCCACACTGCAAAGAAGGAAAAACCCACATTCGACACGAGAACAGAGGCCATGCATGATAGTGATAAAGAAGCCTTGAGATTGATTTCGTACGCAGGGGTACAAATATATCGCTCATCCGCTCGCCATGCACGCACGACGCGACCAAGAAAATAGTTCGAACGATCTATCCGACGCCACTCCCAAGCCTTCAGTCCAAAAAAGAACACGCCAACCAAGACAAAACGCCAGGAAATGCATACAGCCTACATATCTTCCCATCTCGCTCCCGACCACTAATACTTCAACAGCTTCTGTCCCTTGCCTCTCACTCCGTCCAACCCTTCCACCTGTCTCGCAAAGCTACACCACCGATCCTTGATACTCACAACCTCGTACGTGCCCTCCTCGTTCACCGGTATGCTTAAATGGTATCCCTCACTAACCTCCGTCTTGACATCCAGCACCCGGGACTTGCGTCCCCTGACCTCGTTCGTACTTCGTGTGTATGTGAACTCGAACGGCGGGGTGCCCGTGAAGGAGAACTCGAGATCTGCGGCAGTGCCCTCATGAATGTCGAGTTGGGATACCATACCACCTGACAGACGAACCGTGGGGATCGGGTGGATGATCTTGGTGAGGTTGAGAGACGCGATGCATGTGGATGCGGAGTCCTTGAGTCCTGCGAGTGAGAAGGTTCCAGGGAGTTCGGCGAGACGGCGGAACGTGGTGCCGGCGTTCGTTGCTTTGCGTTCTTGCGATTCGAACGTGTAAAAGACGGTGAACGGAACTTGGCCGCCGAGCGCGAAGGAAAGGCGGTCGCCGACGCAGAAGTCGGTGCGGTCTTCCATTGCGGTGGCCGTAGGGGCGTCGTGGACGCTGATTTGGACACGGGGGCCGCCGGGGAGCGGCTTGTGTGTGCAACCACGGGCATCGCGGATCTTGCGGATGGTGATTGTGGAGTGGCCAAGGTTCAGCTTGCGGTGCTCGATCTTCAGGTCGTACTTGTGCTTGTTGATATTCTTGTAGGAGCTGATCTCGGATTTGGGTGTGCCGTGGTGCTTGATGTCGATTTCGAGGTAGAAGGGTGGTGCGCCTTCCAGCGTTATTGGAATGACCTCTTCCCCATCAGATTCACGCGAACAATAGCTGTACGTCTTCCCCGGGTTGTCGAAACGGGCCAAAGGACGGGGGTTGACCGTCTGCTGGACAAAAAGTGGGGAGAAGTGGCGAGCCGAGTGGTCGTACTTGTTGTCCGACAGCTTGACGAACTTGTAGTTGTATGTGCCAGGCTGGGCGGTGTCGGCGCGAATGGAGGCAGATCCGCCGAGGGCGCGGATATCTTTCTTTCTGATGGCAGTAGGCTTGCCACTCTTAAGATCCCTAAACTGTTGCTCATAAGAGAGTTCGAAGGGTGCATTGCCTGGGATTCGGTTAATAGGGCGCGACGAGGTTTGGGACGATTTACTCACCTTGCAACACGACGTCGAAAGAATCCTCATCGCCCTCGCACACATCCTCCCTCAGATACTTGCCATCCTGCAGCGTCATGGATGAAGACTCAGGAATGCTGACCGACGGGCGCGAAATCCAACCCACGGAAAACTGAGAGGACCGCTCGTCGATGAAGCCGGGACATACAGAGTCTCTCACCCTCAGCAGCTGATACGTGCCCTGATTTTCGATGGGCAGGTTCGTGTTTGCATCTCGGATGTTGACGGACTGCACCTCGTTTGTGTCCAGGTTCTCATACTGTAGCTGCCAGGGCCCACTGCCAGTCAGACGGAGAGGGAGTTGCACCTTCTTTCCTTCAAGGGCCATGATCGCCTGTTTGCCATCGATTTGTCCGAAGTATGCCTTTGGCCGCTCGTGACGAACATTGAGCTTCGCTTCGGCTTTGAGGAACTCCTTGCAGTTCATCTTATCCGTGACACTCGCCAACGAGATGATGTATTCGCCGCCATTGTTCAATTTCGGTGTCGTGATCGTGTAGTGCTGCCCCTCGACGCTAACACTACGCTTAGTACGCTTGCCGTTGTGGACAATCTCATAATCCAAAGTGAATGGCCCTTCACCACTGAGTGCGACATCGAATTCAGCGGTGTCTTCGATGCACACTTGCTTGACGCCGTCGGCGTCGATAAAGCGTGCCGAGGCAGCCGGTTTCACCTCTTGCTGGAGCTCCAGATCCTGGAGCGGCCGTTCGCCATAGACCCAGTCCCGGATCGACAGGAAGGTGTAAGTGTAGTGGCCGGCTTCACGAGGAACGAGCTCAATGGTACTACGGAGTGACTTGACCTGGATCTCCTGGGGAGGAGATGGTTGTTTTCCAGCCCTCTGCTCACGGTATTTGATATGAAAGGGAGGTGTTCCGATCAAATCAAGAGCAACCCGCAAGCCGATCGGGTTTCCGGCGCATTTATCGACCATATCCTCTTTCGTGATGGTGAGCTCGGGTTCTGGAGGGTTGCGGAGCAAGCAAGAGGCGGGCTCAAGGACCTCGCCCTCGCAGAAATCCGTGGAGACGGATTTGAGCGTGTAAAGCCCACTGGCGGAGACCAAGGGCTGCTCTCTGTTGGTCCGCATAGTCTCCCTCTTCAACTGAGCGGTCGAGGCATGGTCGCCAGTAGAAAGAAGATCCTCTTCGGGCGTGAAAAGGTACTCAATGATGTGCGGACACTCAATGGGACCCTTTCCGGAAGACTGATAGTGAAGCGGCAGTCGGATAACCTCTCCTTTAGCGACCTGAAGAGGGTTCTGCGCATTGCACGCTTTGAGGGATACCTTTGGTCGCTCATGAACAGTGACTGTGTGCATCGCGGCCGGCTTCAGCTTCGGGCGGTCCTCTTCATCGGCAGCAAGGAAGTTAACATGGTTCCCAATTGCGTCTGTGACCTCCTCCACAGCATATGTATACACGCCGCTTGCGCTTAGTGTCTCGTTCAGCGGAACACCGACTTTTTGAGATAGAGCCCAGGTCACATCCTCTCGATTGGCACGGATCAGGGCTTGAGAAGTATGCTTCGACAAAGGCGAACTGTAACCGTCAGGTAGTAGGCCTTGAAGCTCGGTGGCTTCGCGTGGAATGGCTCCGACGTTGGTGCGGTATCTCAGGCGTAGTGGTGGGACTCCCTCGACCTCGAAAAGAATATTCGACAAGTCGTTCCGACAACGGTTTCCTCCAGTTGGGACAACCCGGGCTTTCGGGCATGTCACAACCACAGCGCTAGAGCCTCTGGGCCGCACCTCCAGCTTGGACTCGTCTATGATCCTCTTCAACATGTATACACCAGTCTTCTTAACCGAGTAATGGAGCTCCAGTGGGCTCGCAGGGTCTGGTTTCTTGTGTGCTTTCCTCGCCTTCTTGAGCATACTCTTGCATTCCCTCGCCTTTATGATGATCGGCTCCTGCTCGTTCGTCTCCAAGTCGATGCGCACCATTTCGATCTCCGTGGGGTTTGTCTGATTGATAACTATGGGGATATCAAGATGTGTAACGGTCGAGTTCAAGCAGAAGGGCTGCTTGGTAGGGTTCAAGATGGCAGATCTACTTGTATTAGCATCTTGCCATTACACAGCGTGACACAACACACCCTTCAGGCAGAATGTTGATAATCTGCTTGCCTAGAATCAGAGACGCGTTGTGGAGTATGGCACCTGGTTTGACACTGCGCTCGTCGATGGCGAGCTCGCGGTCCCACATCCAGGCAGCTAAGCCTACGGTCCATGCTTGGAAAGGGATCTGTGTGTGTCAGTGGATTTCAAGTGGCGTGGCCGCTACACATACCCCGATTCTGTACATCAACATGTAGTCCAGCACAAAGTGCAAGCCGAACAAGAAGACAGACACCCAAATGCCCCATTCAAGCCAAGGGATCTCCAACAGAGGCACACAGAATAGGAACACTATGTCGATAAATAGCCACTTCAAGAACTGCCAAAAAGCTTCCTGGTCATCGGAGACAAGGTTGTAGAAGTCGTACATTCTCCATGCCCATAGCGCCATGTAAAATGCAAAGACGTAGAAGCGTTGCTGAGCAGCATCTAGTACGTGGGTCGGTATTACAGGTCCATTGCTGGTTTGTGGAGCAGGCTCTGGCACTTTATTGAGCGGTGTCCGCACATTTGG